CCCGTGGCAATTGAGAAATAACACTGTTCGCATGACATTTAAGTAAAAAAGTTGGTGAACAATGACATTTTGGTCAGTATCCCTAAGATTTCAAACCAATTTGTTATTCCATCAATCATTATGTGTACTGATTCGATATTTTATGTTTCATTTGAAATATTAAATTATAATAACCAAATACTTTTACTTTTACAAAATTTGTAAATGAGTAGTTTTTAAATTTAGTTGACGGTGAGAATAATTTGCCCGGCATTCATGTATTGGATTTCGTGCAAAATTATTTGATTGCACTAAACATATTTAATTAATATAAATTTCCAAGTTTTAGGTGCAGGTCAAATAAAAGGATATTCGGTATGGAAAGGAATTAGATATTGGTTTTCATACTGCATATCGCATATATAAGGGATATAATGATATTCAATGATACCCAATTATATAATATTACATTATTTAAATTTAGTGTAATTTCTCTCTTGATTTAATTCATTTCAACCCTTGATTTATTTTATCATATTTTATACACACAATATCAAACTAGGAGAGAGTATGTTAGTCGGAGTTATATATGATTTGTTCTAGTCTTTAAGAAAAAAAAAATGAGATTCTCGCATGATTAATTTAGAAGAAGCTCTCTTTGTTTTGGAATTTAAATCCATAATAGATAGCATTTTTTTGATTTAGAAAATCCTTGTTGAATTTGATTGAAAGCTTTAGAGATATATCTTTATGTTTGTGATTGTAGGTTAAGGAAAATATTTGGATAGAAATAAATATATTAGCGTTGGTGTTTTTGTATTTAGTTTAAAACTATTTGGAATTAATAATTTAAAATAAAAGTTATTTAGTAGTTATTTGGGTTACATACATTAAATTCAACATGAATAAAAATGCATAAATCCATGATACCTTTGATGAAGATCTTTTGAGTAAAGCTCATCTGCAGGCTATGGAGCATGAGGCACTTGTGAGCTCAATAGTGACCTAATTTTACCAAATATTACTTGTGTGGTGGTATAATTAAATGTGTCATTGTAATATTAATAATTATTAGGTTTCAGTGTATATTTTGATATGTGTATATATATATATATATATATATATATATATATATATATATATATATATATATATCGAATAAAATGGATTTAATATATTTTGCATCAAATGTTGATGTGACTTGGAAGTTGTTATGATATAGTGATGATTGCTCTCACCTTCTATTTCTCGCTCTAATATTTTTGTTTATTGAGGTGCATGCTTCTTCTTGAATTGTTTAAATGCAAAATTTGTTTGGGAATGCTATTATTTTGAATTCATGATCAGTAAATATGTTGCACCTTGTGGTTCAATCATGGTTTTGGGAAATAAAATGTTATTATATTTAAACATATCTCTCTGTAAGAATTTTCATGAATTACTATAGGTAATTACCACCAAAGTGGGATTGCTTATATTGGTTTGTGAAAATTCTTTTGTAAAATTTGAGAAATAATTTTTGTTATTTTATGCAATTACCTGTCCAAAGAGGGTAATTGTATGTTATAACTGTGAACTTATTTGAGATAAAGTTAATGAGGTGCATTGGTCTAGATGATCTGTCTTCCCAAAGGGGACAAATCTCTAAAGCTAGTGTATGCTCATTGAGAAACTTTTCTTTGAGGTTGTAGATGGCTCTTTGGTCTAGGGATCTATCTGCCCAAGGAGGATAGATTTTCGAACCCAATGTTGTGCTCATTGATTAACTTATATGAGGTTCTGACCTTGGTTTAAACCTTGATTTGTGCATTCTGCCCAAAGGAAAATGTAATATTATGTTGGCCTTGTTATAACAACCTGTTGTGCTCAATGATTAACTCATCCTGAGCAACTTCTTCTTAAGGTTGTAGTTGAAGTTATTAGAGGCTCATTGGTCTAGGAATCTATCTGCTCAAAGGGGATAGATTTTCAAACCCAGTGTTGTTTTCATTGATTAACTCATATGAGGTTCTGACCTTGGTTAGTGCATTCTGCCCAAAGGAGAATGTACTATTATGTTGGCCTCATTATAATATCTTGATTAAATTGAATGTGTATATTGTCCTTTAGTTTACTCTAATGCATACCTGTTTTGCCTTAATAATGAATTTATATGTTAGTTCCTTTAAATAGATTTGAAAACATGTTTGATTCATTTTGAAATTAATATTCTGAATATTTATTTTAGTTTTTTATATACATAAATATTTATTTGGAATTATTTTCTCTCATTCATATTTAATTTTGTGAGCTCTTATTCATGTTTCATTCTGTGAAAAATATTTATGATTTTTTTTAAATTTTAATTAATGAAAATTATTATAGATTATGGTGATTATAATGTTAGTATTTAGTCTCCCAAATTTAGCGTAGGTTTTATATCTTTTGTCAATTAAGTTTGAATAAAATATATAATTGCTAATATTGGAAATTGAAATTTGTGACACATGGTGGTCCTGACGACAGTGATATTGGTAATAACATTAATAACATTGAATCAGCGATTTATAAAGCAAACATGATACATAATGGATCACAAGTTCGTATTTTAAATGAAACAAAATATTCTTAACTTCTATTTGAGTCATGGCAACCATAGGCCCAAAAATAACTGTGAATTTTAAAATGAGTTAAAAAGGAGTTATTGTGAATTAAAAAGGAAAACACAACTCAAATCCATACCTGCGTGGCCAAGTCCTTAAGTCGACTCCTATTGGCTATTGATATCAATAAAATTTGATGAAAAAAAAAAGTTATTGTGTAACGAACAAAAGACCAAGCAAGAATATAAGTGAAAACCATTGAATAGAGGACAACATACTCGCCAAATGAAAGAAATCACACACCGCCCATCGCCACTGCACGCATCACTGGAGAACTATTCTATAGCTATCGAAAATTCCAAGTTTCTTTCTAAATATCATACTTTTATAAACATTAATTACCATAAATAAATAAATAAAAATGTCAATATATTAACATTCGTTTCTTACCACATGTTCATACCACAACACCTGCAACAGTCAGAGCCTTCCTGTCCACATGTAATGATTCAAGAAAAATTATCCAAAGAAAATGAATATTAGAACCTATCACAAATGAAATATTGGACAATGATTCAAGATAATATCATACAAATACCAATTTATCCATTTAGTGAGGATTTTGAAGTAGGTCCATTGACAAATATACTAAAAAGATGGTTGAAATATTGTCTATATCTTCACACATATCTTGACTTTATGTTAGATTCATCCATATGGTTGTTAAAGTGACATGTCCATATTGAGGAAATATTTTTTTTTTCTTGTACCATGATAACGGTGAAAGTGATTTAATCGCAATACAATCAAGTATCAAACAGTATTTGGCCTACATTGATTCAACTTGATAAATTATCGTGTAATATATAAGATATACCGGTATATAAAATATATTATTTGTGTAATATACAAGGAGGATCTTACCAGGCAGATTACACAAGTTAGATCATACTCTTGTTTAATAGAATATGGAAGAATCAATATACAGAGCTGTGTACCTGTAGTAGAATAGAAAAGGATGGAGTGAACCACATAACACTTAACCAGTCAACCAAAGATGTGTAAATAAAAAAATGGGAAAAGGGGGGGTGACATCAAGTGGCAAATGTCTCATCTGATGCATACTTTATCATATTTCTTAAGTATTTTACTCATCGTAATAGCATTCATTGCAATGTACTCAATTAAAATTCTCCCTTCTTTGGCAAGGGTTTGTCTGTCATTTCTAAAGCACTGGCGCAAGCACAACACATATCTCTACAGTCTTGTTGCAATATGAAGATGAAGGAGATGCTTAACTCTTGAACTAAAGTATACTTAACACAGGAAAAGATGAAAAGGAAACTTATACCTTACGAAAATTTATTGGATGATGAAGATTGTGCTAGATCATATACTTACGAACTTAGAAATGGAGAGCAAATTGAAGAAATGACTTTAAATCTTTGTGCATTATAACCCCCAATCGAATTGTTTGGGATTCAGAAGTGAGGGAAATTATTTTAAGTACTTTTAGGCACTATCAATAAATTACAAATTTATTTTTCTCAATATACTTCTAGCCATTAGCTTTAAATTAAAAAAATTTATTTTATTGAGTAAAGCTCATTTTAGGTCCCTAACAAAAAATATGATCTTTACTTTCGTTCCTTACAAAAAAGAGAGTCAACTTTTGGTTATTCTACAATTTCAGTTTTTTGAAAATGTGGAACTAGACCCCAATATTCTTAAGAGGCCTAAAAGTTCACTCATGCTAGGTAATCTATCTATAAGTAAATGGTTAAGCTAATAAGGTATACACTCTAAACTCTCATTCTTAGCTGTCACTGTGCACACACTCTACTTTTGGGTATGTCGTATGTTATAGTGTTGCATAATAATCTTCTTATTTTCAAAGATATCTCCTCTATACATACATGAGAGAGAATATTTATATGCAAAAGAAATATTACCAATCTTTGATTGTACATACCTATCACTACGAAAGAACATAAAAAATCTAAAATTTCTATGTCTGACAGCAGGTCAGTGGCCATATTCTATCATAAGAATATTTTGATATAATAATGTTCCTCCGCATTAATATTATATCCTACGAAATAGTATTCTCACGCTTGGTATTCTTGAGAATATTTTTATCCCAACTTAGAACCAAATTCCACTCATAACCAACCAATTGACACAAGTACAGAACACATAACTGTTAAAGGGTACGCAGTTTATGAATAAATATTTAGTGCAACTGATGGACTTAAGATGCATTCATCTATTATTTATTTTATGATATGTGAATAAAAAATATCACATTATTTGATTAACTATCATTTAAATTTTTTTTTTCCAGATGTTGTAATATTTTTATTCACATGTCACACAAAATGAATGACAGATTCACTCAATTTGCACTAATAATTTATTCGCATTTACACATACAGTCAACAGTAACTTTGTTTCCCTTATCAAGTTAACTTTCACAGTTCCACTCAACGAAAAAATTTGTTGGCACATTTTGGTAAAAGTATATACTTACCCCCCCTCTTAAGGACACCAGAGGAAAACACAAAAGGAAAAAAAAAAAAACTTTACACTCTGGTGTTGGTACCAAATCTACTTTTGAATGCTCATGACCTATTACTCCACTTGTGTGCACTTCCTGAAAAGGTCAATGCGGCATTCTCCAAGCCTCAGAGAGTAGGTGGCTTTCTTGTATTCAGCCCAAGTGAATGGTTTGAAGAGTGAGGGCCTCTGTGGTGTAACCATAACTGGTGGAGCAACAATGCAGGCATGAAGTGGTGGAGCCCCAAAATATGCCACCGACATTCTGGACTTGCATGCGTTTGTCACAGCCCTATGTCTCACGCTTACAAATCTTCCATTTGTCATAACCTTTAGACAACACACTCAAGAATTAAAATAAAAAATCAGTTCCTTTTTTGCACCATATCTTGCACACAATTTCGAAAGGGTAACTTGTCAGGAAGCCTTAATTGTTCAACCAATCCCAAATTCTCCGATTATTATTCATTCCATCCATTTGTTAAGATGTGGTACATGACATGTTGGTCGTCCTGTATAACATGTTATGTCTATCTCTTTTTTTTTATAAATAATGAAAATGATGTCACCAGACAGAGATATATATCCAAATCCATTACCATTCATTATGTACTCTTTTTAGTATGTAGACACACACACACACATATATATATATATATATATATATATATATATATATAAATTTCATGATCACACACACACACACACACACACACATATATATATATATATATATATATATATATATATATAAATTTCATGATCACTGAAGCAAGCACTATTTATTTCAGTTTGTTCTCAAAAGCTTACCATAACCCAAGTACATTTATCTTTATAAATCTTAATGGAACCAAAAATTGAAGTCATGCTGTAGTGATTCCAGTGTCATTTCACTATCAACTATAAAGCTTTCTTTTAAGTAATATATGTAATATATGCCTACCAAAACGAATCCAGGTGGTTGAAAAAAATATATGTAATATATATGTGTCAGGATAAGAACATACCTCTAATAGATCACCCACATTAACAGAGAAAGCAGAGGGGTCAGGAGTGACTGGGTTCCACACCCCATCTTCAAGAGAAATTTGAAGGCCACCCACATCGTTGGATCTAAGGATGGTTATGATCTGAGGGTCAGAATGCTCTCCAAATCCAACTTTGCAACTATTGTAAGAGGGTGACTTGTCCCAGTGATTGGAGTCTTTGTTGAGTATAGGTGGATAATGATTGAGCCTGAGGACTGAGTCACTGTCAACCTCCCTGATCAACCTGCTGAAAACCAATGTATCAGGGACCCCCAGACCCTCTGCCATTAGCTCCAAAATCTCACATGCTAGCTCCCTCACACCATCTGTGTATGCACTCACCGTAGAGCTGTCATGTACAATCACACAGTAACACACTCAGAACCTAAAACATGTGCTTGTTCTTGTTCGAATTTCTAAGCAAAAGCCATGCCCACCCCAGAAGGAAATATCAGACTTTTTTGTGAAAATATTTGCAATTAAAGAAGCAGCTAGCAATTATATATATCACTCACAAACTTCTTTGCAGTAGTTAAGTGAAGGTGATGACAGTGGTGGTAGAAGAGTAGCAAGCAGAGTGAGTTTTGAAATCCAAACAAATGAAAAACAGTGAAAGAGCAGACACTACAATGCAACCATATGATACATAGTATTTTTCATTTCTACTTTTGGTTGTTTTGGTAACAAAAGCAAGAGAATATTGTTTTTTATATTAAGTGAGAAAATTTGTTTCATACAATATAAAAATATGAGTAAAATTTATTTATTTTCTGATTTTTTATTCTTTTTAATGAATTTTATCTTATTTTTTTATATTATATCAGATAATTTATTTCATATAATATTAAAAATAATATTATATTTTTTTTTTAGAGGTTACAAGGAATTGAACACAACACCCTACACTACACACACTCCTAACACACACACCCCACACCACTAGGCTAATCCTAGTGGTAAAAATAATATTCTCTGAATTAATTACTAAAGAATTTTTTTTGTTAATTTTTTTTGAAAATTTCGTTTTCAACTCATCAAAATCAGCTTTTAGTTATTGATTTGATGGGACGTTGCTGATGTATTTGAGATTTCTGCAAATATGAAACCCAAGCTTTATCCTAAAGGGCGTTTGGTACAAGAGAAATTTTTATTTGTCCGGGAATTTCGATTTTTAAAAATATAATTTTTGCATTCAGTTTACGATAATATCTGAAAATTTAAAATTTAGAAAAATTCAGTTTCCCGAAAATCTCTCAAAATTCTGCATACCAAACGCCCCCTAATAGTACTTTTTTCTGACCTTTCCTCTTTGATTTCTCCTTTTTCTAAAATTAATCATAACCATGAGTGAATCACTACCACGCAACTGTTATCAGTGTTGACATGACATCGACAGGAACGCATAAACATTGAAGAGTAGAACGAGATAAAAGGATCTCTCTGACATAGGATCCCACCTCGTAGGAGAGTACCTACATCTTTAACATAGTTCCATGTGCGACATCAATGGTTTTAAAATCTCACGTGCACCCCTCAGAATTTTTTTTCCCATGTCTTTTTCTTTTCTTTTCTCACGTGCACCCCTTAGATTTTTTTTTTTCCATGTCTTTTCTAAACTCTTCAACCAATTAACTTGTTGAAGTCGCAGGCACTGAATGATTCATCGCAAAGCATCGGTCTTCCGACAACGAGGGGAACAAAATGTCACTGTTAATTAAGTTTTTTATTTAAATGTCACGCGAGAATAATATTATTTTTCAATATTCTAATATGCGATGCGGACAAATTCGTTACAGTGTTCATCGAACTTGATAGTCAATGATTTGTTACATGTAGCATATTTTTTCAAGAAAAGTTTACTGCCACCTGTCCAAGTTCCCTAAACTGGTAATGAACTTGGTAGTCAATGATTTCATGACACGTGACACACTTTTACAGAAAAAGCTGACTGGATGAAGTTCGCTACAAGAGATAGCGAACTTGGTGTGTTATGTGGCTCAATCTCATTACCCGATCAGAATTAATATTCCAATCACAATAAAAAAACAGAAAACGATCGAATATGACAATAAATTGTAATTTGGGGATACTTAATAACACTGTTCGCGTGATATTTGGATAAAAAACTTAATGAACGATGACATTTTGGTCACTGTTTCCTGTATATGTTTGTCTTTATTTTATTTTATTTTTAAATTTTGACATGACATGGTACATCACTTTAAATGATTTAAATAAGGAAAAATATTTATTATTTTGAATGATATAAATTTGGATTATTTTAGATGAAATGATATCATTTTAATGCATATTTATTGATTTTTTTACATTATTTCTCTTCCATAAAAATAGGAAGAGAGAGAAACTGAAAGAGAGAAAATATATGCATCAAAACAATATCATTTCATATAAAATCATACAAAGTTATATCCTTAGAAATGATAAATATTTTTCTCTTTAAATAAAGGAAAATATATTTATCATATTATATAAAATAATTTGTAAATTGTAACATATAAAAAATGGGTGAAATTCATTAAGGAGAAAAGAGAAATAAATAAATAAATAAGTTTCACACACTTTGTGTATGTTGCATGAGATAAAATATATCATGCAATATGAAAAATATATTTTCCATAAATATATATTTTAGATTTTATTGCATTATGAAAGCTAACCCCATCAGGATATAAATATTCCGGACCCGAATATGATTGTCTTTCTTAGAGAATACTTATGATTTATCCAAATATATTAATTGATGCATTATTTTATTTAAGTTTGTGTCATATTTTTATATTTACTTATGCTTCTTAATCTAAATCTGTGTTTAAAGTAAGAGCTTTAAAAGATTAGTGTTTTGTACGAGAGAGGTTATATTTACTACATTTTTTTCTTACTACCTCTTATTTTCAAATCTTAATCGTTGATTTCCACCAATCTAACGGTTATAATTTATTGAAAATTAATAATTAATTAATAAGTATAACTCAATAAATTATAACCGTTAGATTGACGGAAATCAACGGTTAAAATTTAGTAGTAAGAGATAGTAAAAAAAAGAGATAGTAACTATAACCTCTCCTTTAATGTTTATAATATTGTAGGAGATTTATCTCCAATACATAAAAGTGTATATGATCTATATTTTTTTTCTCTCTTCTTTTCACATGGTCACACATAAGTCTCATATATTTTTATGTGTGTGTAAGAGATATAATTATCTTCTATAATATATGAAAAACAATAATCACTTGAAGTAATAAAAAAAAAACTTTAGCAACTTTTAAAAAATACTTTTTTCTAAAATAAACAGTTGAACTCCAAAGTCAAGAAAGCATATAAATACTAGGTTTTAGTTAAGGGAAAAATTGTTCTCATGAGTTAAATTTTTTTTCTTACATATCCTTCGATAATTATGCAATCTTCTTCTTCTTATTTTTTTACGTGATGGGCTCCACCACTATATATTTATGACATAATATTCATTATCTCATGCAACATAAATTAGATAAACCCTTTAATTAAATATTCTGCACACATTCCTATACTAACTCCCGCAATGAACATATTTTTCTTTTGAGGTCGAGAAAACCCTATTATTTCTTTTTTCGGTAGTATATATATTTTTTAATTCAGATATAATTAACATATCCATATTAATGTAAAATACTCAATAAAATTATTCATACTTAACCTAGTGATATTTTCATTTATTAAAAAAACAATATTAAAAATATAAACAGGAAATATTATTTTTACTCTCTTAATCACATCCACACTTAACCTTAATGCGGTTATTAATTATGTGAGACAACTATTGTCCTAGAAAACAATGTTATTGGCCTAAGGTTTCACTTCCCCCGCAACTATTACCCTAAAAAACAATCTTATTTATGTGGGAAGAGTTTCAAATTAATAGCGGGAGAAGCTCAAGTTGTATCAGAATGCAGATCTAAGGAGTAAGGACCACTAGCAAGTAGCAACATGCTGTTGCATAAAGAATAGTTGGCATTCCATCACTCTTAGAAGGAATAACGTTGACACTCCCAAACCACATTCTCTCTCCGTTCTCCGGTTGTCAGATACAACTCATACGAAGGTACGTAGTATCAAGCCAGAAGTTATAATTCATTGCTCGCGATGGTCACCGCGCGTTAAGCTGGCAAGAACTTACCAGCTGACATGGTCCATACAAACAAATAAATATCCTATGTGCTTCCCGTGCAAATATATTTATATATTACATTTTCAATGTTATGATTAAAATGATATACGTAATAATTTTTTTTTTTTTACTCCTTAAAACATGTAAGAATTTTTATTTACTTTTATTTTTATTTTTGCAATGTGAACAAAGATAAAATGTACACAACTCTCCCTTCACAAATAACTCCTGTAAAAAATTGAGGGACCGAAATTGTTTTAGTGTATGTAAAGCGAACAATGAAAAATTATCAGCCTCACTTTTTTTTTTTTTTTTAATGACCTTGTCACCCCCAACTGTTACTTACTTTTCATATACTTGATTTCGTGTCCATTGTTTGGTCACACCTTCACAAAAAGTGGCATGTAGCTAAAAATACCAAACCAATGGCGCATTTACTCTTCTATGACACAATTCTTTTAAAGTTTAAAGGTGCGGAGGGGAGAAAATTTTGTGTGTCTAAAAATTACAATTTTCATGCATATATTAGGAAAATAAATTTTTTAGAAATATTAACAAAAACTTATTTTGGTATATCAAAATATTTCTAAAAAGATTGATTCAAATTTTCTAATTCTATATTTAGTTAATTGTAAATTATTACTGAAAATATAAGTTGATTTTATAAAATTATCCTTTATAATTCGTTCAGGTTGAACTCGTTCCAACACCTCATCTGAAAAAGCTGAAACTCGGTTCAAGTTGTATGATTCTGAAGATTTCTTCTTTCTCTTACTCTCCATTTTCAACCCAGAAGCTCCCAAAAAAAAAAGAAAATTATAAAAATAAAAACTTTAAAACATCCTTGTGAATCAACAATGAGATTTGAAAGCAACCAACTTGGTAAACTATGGTAAAGACCAATACTGAAAACTTGCTGCTATGTATCCTTGACTCTTTGATGCATTTCTTCCTTGTTTTCTTTTTCAAAACAAAAGAGATTGAGGGGGGAAGTGGGTCGATGAAGGCTTCGGAAGATCCGAAGGTGGGGATTGGGATCGGATTTTGGGGTGGTGGAGGTGGTTGTGGTGGTGAGGGGCTGGAAGGTGGTGATCGGAGAGAAGTGGGATCGATAGATGGGTCTTCGAAGTCATCGTCTTCGGCTTCGAAACCTTCAAAATGGGAATCAGAGTGAACGAAAGCGACAAAGCATAACAGAACGAAGAAGACGCACCACAGATTCAGATTCAGATTCAGATTCAGATTCGGATTTGCCAATGACGAATTAGGAGAGGTGTTGCACTGAGTTTAGCTTTCGAGTCTAAGGAACAAGGGTATTTTTGTCCGAAAATATTGGAAATTTTTTCCACCGGACAAGAATATCACCCACACGGTAGTATTTTTTAATCCAATTTTATTTTACAAAAATAATTACTAAGAATCTGAGTTTTTCGAAAAGAAAAATTCACAATTCTTATATCAAACATAGATAAATAAAATTCACAATATCAAAATTTCCAGAATCTAAAATTTACTAAATTCCAAATGCCCCTAAAGATATTTTCTCTTTGAACTAAGAGAGCTTTTTAATCCGATGCAAAAACACTTACATGTCACAAGTTTAATTATTTTGAAAAATTATTTATTAATTTAATGCTAGTGTAAGGTACATAAAAAATGTGGACTCGTGCATCATCTTCGTATACAATTTGTGCAAAAATGTGAATAACGCAAGACGCACATCGTGGGGCGCACATTAAAATCACACGTACACTCCATATGCACTCCATTCCGGCAATGCTTCATATGACAGACACGCTTTGCCTTTTGCACAAATTGTGCCTAGGTGTGTTTCAATTGCATTAAATTAAAAAATAATTTGCTTACAGAATTAAACCGATTATATGTGTTGGATTTTGCCTCAAGAGTGGTAAAAAAAACCAACTAAAACACAAAAGAGAGAGATGATATAATAAACCAAACATGCAATAAATGCAAAAGTATTGGACAAGGACATATATAAAGAAAAAGAAAAAGAAAAAAACGTATTAATGAGTGCACATACCTGAAGTTTGATGGGTCATTGTAGATATTTTTGGACGGCTGAGCAATAGAAGGAGCATTAGCATTGAGAAGAAGGTACTCGACCTCACCTATGTCTCCATTGAAACCTATGTTCTTGCAACCATAACCAAAAGGGTTACCAGGCGCTGCTTGTTTCTTTTGGGCCAATGGTTTGGCAAAGAAATCAAAACCTGCTTCTTCCATTTTAGCTATGATGTCATGAGAGACACCATGGTTGATCACGTTGAAGAAACCATATTCTTCGCTTGATTTCACGATGAGTTTTATCAACATCGATCTTTCAGCAGTTAGGTCCACCACAGGAAGCTCAATGGGTATGATCTTTTCGCTCCTAATAGAATTTGTGGAAGCCACCACCATATCTGCTCCTCTAGATGAATACAAAGAGTGAAAGGGAACACAAGGTGTTGAAACCAGAAAACTAAGGTGGGTTCTAAGCTCTAACTCTTTGTATTATCAGTAGAAAAAAAATGGGTTGGGGATAGGTTCATGCGTTGATAAACGGTGGGTTATAGGCGAAAAAAAAAAAATTATATAAACAGAGAGAGAAAGAGAGGGAGAGAGAGAGAGAGTGAGTATGTGAAAGATGATGAGCGGAAGGTAGGGAATTGTAACAACAATATAGGGATATTTATGCAGAAACAATACGAGAACAATCTATATGGAGAAAAGAGATTAAAATGAAAATATTAAATTTAATGACAAGAATATTACTACTATTATTATTATTATTATTATTATTATAATAATAATAGTATGACGGTATAAATGAAATTTCTTTATTCACGTTTTATGGGATCTTATTCAAATAATGCAATTTTTTAAATTTATTAACAATATATATGATATTTTAAGAAAAATATGTGATGACATTAGTCTTTTAAATTATTTTATCTTTAAATTATACTTTCAAGTATTTTTATATTAGTCCCGCAAATATATACAAAATACTTTTTCTTTTGCTTCACAATTTTACATATACAAATATGAATTTAGTGACTTTCGACTGATTTTTTATATTTTCTAAGGGTTCATTTAGAAATAAAATATTTAGAGAACTAATATATGTAGACGATAACGACTTTTAAAAAATTAAGTAAATGATATATTCTAATTTTTAAATAATTTTAAAAATATTTATTGTTGTTATGTGATATGTCGGTAAATTTTGTTATTTCCTATACATTGCGTCGCATTTGGATGCAATTAATTTGCACGAGCTATGGTATCTAAGTCTTTGTCATATGACATATGACTCTCATTAAGTTAGACTCTCGAACATTTTGGATTCTTCCCTTCCGTCTCTTTTTCTTTCGCGCGATCTCTGCCTGCTTTTGATGCCATTATCTACAACCTCCCCAAACCTCTATTTTTTTAGTTATTTAAGATTGTTTTCGGTCATAGTTCATACCCATCCATTTCGGATGACAATGGTTTGGATCTTGTTAGAGTTCATTTTTAAACAATTAATATTGAAATAATTAGTTTTTTTTTTTAAAAAAAAATTGATATTAAATAATTAATGTATATTTCAGATTAATATAGTTTAATAATATTGAATGATTTCCAAGTACAACCATGGTTGGGAGAAGGTTAAGGAAAGGGACTTAATATGCATAAGTTTGTTCAGATTATGTTTTAATTAGTTTTGTATCTTTTTTCTATTTTCCCAAAAAAAAAAATGATTTTGTTTAGTCAATGTAATACAAATTCACTTTAAAGTGTCAATGACTTAAAAAATAATATAAAGTAATTTTTTATCTGTAAATTTTAAATTCGAATGGATTGCATCTTTTACCGGTGAGTAAAATTGAGTTTCATGGAACTTAAACATTCAAAAATTCACTTTTAAAATAATTTGTTTTGGCAAGCAAAAGTACTTCTTTATAACGCAAAACTAAACCAAAGAAAAATAAAGATGTGCAAATCAATAACAGTAACGCAAATGAAAGTTTGGATTGCAAAATTTAAAATAAACTTGCACTAACTTGACTTCTCTTGCCCTAAAAAATTAGGGTATTTTCGGTCACACTTTAAATTTTTTATTGTTTGGGGAAGCTATATTTAAGATGCTAGAAAAATAAAAGAATAAAACAACGTATATAATAATTTATGGGTTTAATGTGTGTCCTTTTAAAGAATATAAATATATATCATTTCACCTATTATAATTATGTACTCCGGATAGTACATAATTATAATATGAAAGTTGTTTTTTTTTTTCTCTTTCCACATCAGCTGATAAGTTTCTGAAGAGAGAGAAAAAATTAATATTATAACTATGTATTTTTCAGAGAACGTAATTATAAGGAGGTAAAAGTACATAAGTTATATATTTTAAAAGGACAAATAATTTTTCCATAATTTATTTATAAAAATTTTGGGAGGGGCCAGAGCCTCGTCGCCATATAAGAGGTAGTGCCCCTGTGTACCTTCTCTTCAATGAGTTTTGATATAGCATCCAATCATCCAAAGTGAATGAAGGTACATGTATTTAAGTAGAGAGAAGAGGGAGAAATTTATTTGGTGAAAGATTAAACGTCAAACACCAAGATCATATCTCACCGTTAAGAATGAAAATAGGCCCTTATTTATTATTGTTCCCGTTCCCACAGAATGGACACTGAGGTCCAAGCTTTGCTGGCTATGGTCACCCATATAAACCATGGCCAGTACTACAATCCCACACGTCCCTCTCAAACTCAAGTGTCATCTAGTAGTGAGTACTATCTCTTTAAACGATCAAGGTACCATTTTTTCAAATTGAAATTCACACCTCCCCCAGCTCATGAAAACCCTTCAAGTGTTAGTGAGTTTATACTTCTTTTTCTTGTTTACCCAATCTGTGCCCAAATCTGCTAAAGCTTCTTGATCTTTGCAGAAGCTATCTTAGCATTCATGCTTAATTAATGCTATTGTTATTGCTTCCACTTTGAATACATTGATTTCGTCGAATTGCCATGTGAGTGTAATATAAGTACTAGGTTAGAGTGGAGCATGCATATTGCATGTATAGGCCCCACTTCCAAGCAAACCTCTTATTTTGTACAGGCATTTAGCCGTTAGATTGATGTCAATGTATCGACGTTTTTTATGATTATCCTAAACAGTTACAACGATGCAAACCACATAGTACTTAGTCTTTTTTCATTCATTTGATTTTTTTTTTTATATATATATATATATATATATATATATATATATATATATATATATATATATTGCTTTCACAATTTTGATCTGAGTATGGTAAAGGCCAAAAGTCTTCCAAAATGCTTCTTCAATTATGGAACTTTCAGACTTAAATTCAAACAGCCACGTCCGTTTAATTAACTTGTCCTTCTCTCTTTAAACAGTATTTATTGCATAATATTATTAAATTATATGGTTGCATTTATTTCAATGCTAGCGAAATGGACATTGAAAATCTTTAAAAATATTTATTTATAAAAAGGGTAGATTATATACAAACAAGTTTGATAAAATAGTTTTTGGTACGTTTACCAAAAAAAAAATAAAAAAAAATAGTTTTTGGTATTTGACAATAAAATTTTGGTTTAATTTTATACGTATATATAATTAAATAACTAATTGTAAAAAATAAATTATTAGAGGGGGAACTAAAGTGGTATGTGAACAAGCAACTACGATTGGTCTAATGGTGAAAATTTTGAGTAATTTATATTATTTTATATGTTTAATTTTCACTATTGTATTAAAAAAAAAAAATTGATACGTGAAGCTTACTCTTAAACGCTGAAAAAGTAACAAATAAATGTTGAAAGGATCATAATTGTGATAATGCTCAAAAAAATAATCTCTCAATAATAGTGGAAAAAATACTTTGATAATAACAAAAGGTTGGATGTACTATTTATCGAAGGGAACAATATATAATTGAATAACTTTGAGATTGAAAAACGCACCATAAGCTGATTATATTTACCACGATATTATTTTTAATTTTAATTTTTTTAATTTTACTTCACATTTTTTTATGGAAAAAGGAAGATAAAAATTCAATTTTCTCTTATCTCTCTCACTTTTTTCTAATAAAAGAATACATAAAAATAAAGTGTAAATATTATATATATATATATATTATATGTTATTTGTGAGCTCCTAATAATCTCCTACCAATATAAGACATACTTTGCTTGATAGTATTTAATATTAGAGAAAAATGTTTGTCCTTTTAAATGACACAATTTATGTCCTTTCACTCTCACAAAGAGGTGGGACCCAACCTTTATATTTTTTTGTCCACTCTCTCTCTTTCTTTATTTATCTCTTTCTCTCACTTAAAATGACACAACTTTACATCCTTTAAAATAATATATACTTTTCTCTTAATATTAATGTATTTTCCTATGTAGTTGGTGAGCCCATAGTCTTTATTGCTAAATGCGACTCTTAACAAAAGAAAATGACAGAAAGGGCATAAGATATGCAATTTTCGACATTGGGAGAAAGTTCCTCCTTATCTTCCTCCACTCCATGATGAGTTTTCACTATTAGTTGGTCTTACTTGGAACCAGGTGTACTGTTTATCTTTATTTATTTTACGGGGTCAGTGTCATATTATTGTTTCAAATCCCAATGGTTCTTTGTTGTTTAAAAAAAATTGATTCTATCCAAAAAAGAAAAAATTGGTTTTATTTATATTATGGGTTTTATAAGAGTTATGTTGTAGGAAAAATGATTGTGTAATGTTATAGAGATTCGTTTTGCGTGCCTTAATTTTTTATTTATTTTTTTGTTTTAAAAAGTGTGGGTCCCACAAAATATTGTGAGTGTAGAAAAGTTTGTTGTGTTATGTTAAAGGATAAAATAAAAACCCTTATATTATATAGTTTTTCTTTTGGTCTACATATAGAGTTGAGAGTCTTACATTACAAGTCCACACGGCTGTTCCATGCAGCGTCCTCGTCCACAGTGATGGTTTGGTTGCTGGGTCTGGAGTACTCTCTGGTCATCAATTATTAATACATGATATTGAATTATTATATGACACAATAATTGGCAATCAAAAGCGATAGTACCTATATATATATATATATTTCTTAAGTCTTCAACTAATCAATGAATATTACTCCTAAGGGATGAGTAGATTATTAAAATCATATGTATGTATAGCTAGATTTTATTTATATTGAAACATAACAAAAGCTTATTAAATATGGTTTAAGCTAGCGAAATAAATTCCTCATGGCGTGTATGAAGTATGAACCTCTCTCGCTCTTGCAAAAAAAATATTCTTGTATTAAGGGGTTTAGTATTTTTTGTCTCTCTTTGTTTTTCTCGCTGGCCCACATGGGCCCCACACACCTTTATGTGTGTCTAGGAAATAAATTTATATT